AAACTTATATAAATTAAGGAAAATTACGTGGTCAACGGCGACCACTGTATATAGAAGAAACATTTTTGCGTTTTTCACATCAAATATGGTTTCTTTCTACAATAATAAGAACAAAGAAATACGCAGTGTTTCATTCGTGATTTCCTCTATGTATGAGATACGCAGGCAGCTGTATCGATTTTCAGGCCAAACTCGCTTTCTAGATTGAGTGTGGCTTATGATTCTGTAAAGTATCACTCATTACTTTAACAGGGACACTGATGTCAATTATTTAACGAGAGCTACGAAACCGTGGTTTAAACGTCGTCTGCACAATGTGTGTTTTAGAATATAGGTGTTGGTCAGTGGTCTGATTAATTGAATAAGGCTATAAATTTGCAGAATTCTCGATCTCAACCCCTTCTTTTTCACTTAGCCCGGAGGAAGGCATTGGCGAATGGAGTAACTGGCAGAGGGAGAAAGAGAGAATAGAATCCACCGTCTTTGCTGCCGGATCACCCCGGTTCAACAACAGTGCATCGCGGGATGACCATGAACATCCCTGGCTATAACAGGACACTGAACCTCGTTGTACGACCTGACTAATTTGCTCGCATTTAATCGTCAAGATTCGCGGTTTTCCCTTCACCGCAACGTCAAGCAGACCCACCTGAAACACTGTAATCATGGACTGGGCGATGCCGTCAAAGTGACTCCGTGGCTTGTCCTTGCTGGGGAAGTTGAAGGTCCCGCCAAACCACTGCATGCCCAGGAGGGAGCAGATGAGGATAAAGAGGAAGAGAAGGAGCAGGAGGCTGGCAATCGACTTTACAGACTTTAGCAGACGATTCACCAGCGAGCGAAGACTGTTCCAGTAGCTGTTCAGTGTGAAATAGCAGGAGGAGGGGGAGAACGGAAAGAAACCAGTACTGAGTTTACAAGTTATCGAATCGGCACGCAGAAGAGTACGTGTACGCCAAGAATGTCCATGAATAAAAGTGGTTTTCTTTTGGGATAGACGAACACTTAGGTCAAAGAAGTGTTCAAAACTGACAACCATTAAATAGAATGAGCACAAATATATCTAAAAGCAATAAAGGAGCATGCTATTACTGGCCAAAGGACTCAGTTATTCAGAGTGCTCGTACTGGGACCCAAACTAAATACAATAGTTTGCGTTATTTTGTTTAGAACTCGGAACTTCGGGAACGTTTGCCCGATAAATACCAATTACGCATACAGACAGCGGAAAAAACGTGGTTAAAATTGTATCCCACAAAACCGTTGTCTGGAACACCGTGAGCAAGTAGTTTTGTTACAGTGTTACACTTGCAGCTGGACAAAAAGTGTACATTCCGTTCAGGAAATTTCAAGACTTTAACCGCGCAAAACATTTCTAGAATGTTATTCTCATAGCGGACTGTATCCCCACAAAACTGAATTAAATGCAGACATTTAAAGTCCCCGTGATATCTCTTGATAGGTAGCCGTAGGATTTCGCAACACAAATTAGGTGTGATCAAAGAGCCTCTGGGACACTTTTAAACACTGTGTGATGATTTATTGCCGAAAATCCATGTTTTAAAAAGTCTATTATCAGCTAGAAATTAATTAAGGCATCAAATCGGGCAAAGACCAAAAACTCACTTTTAAGATAAATTATTTTCAAGAAATATATTCTTTTGGAGGTGTTGGTAAATTCGCAGAAAGTAATCCTTATTTATGGACAAAGGACTAGAAACACTGAAAATAGTAAAGTGTTCACCACTATTTCAAGAACAATCGGAACCTCGTCGTAATCGAACACCAGAAATAATTACAAAGGAATGTGACGGAAGAAAATTTATTTTAATGTACAAAAAATGGTAAGTGCCCTTAAAATTCCATTTAAATTTATAACTTTCTTCCCGGCATTTCCAGATGTGAGCTTACGAAATATCTTACTCACGTAACGTCGCAATTGGCATAATTAAGCGGAAATCTGATTGCCTTAGTCCGGTGTATGTCAAATGAGGTAGAAAGAAAGAAACAATCGCCAATTATCCTGACATCATTTTGGGATTTATACTCGAAGGTTGGGCCATAGTTAACATTGCGCGTAACATGGAAGCATATCTAGCCAAACATATTACAAAAGGATTATTTTCAAAGGCGCTGCTTTATTTACTCAGTTGTTTGAATGAGCAGGGTTTCTTAAAATTTCAAACTTAAGTTTATTGAATGAACCTGATTCTTTACCTTTTTTCGGAATTTTTGGCTTTCTTAAAGCAGCTGGTAATTCCAAACCGCAATATACATGCCTTTTAAGAAAGATAGTTATTTTATTACTGTAAGGCTTTAGGGGGACGCAGATTGGACTGCTTTTATGTACCAAGCTTGTTTTTTGCAAAATCTCCCTAGATTTCATAAGTTAGGGCATTAACTGCATCTGAATAGAACCCATTTGCGGGCTAATGGACACATGTAAAAGTTATTCAAATGAGCAAGACCCAGCATAAATCTAAATTATTTTAGCCCACTGTTGTATGATCATCGATTTCGATGAAATCCAACATGTACTCTAGAGCAAAGACGGAAATGGAGCTTAGTACGATATTTTAGTGAAATAGACGCGCAAGTATCTACATCACTCAAACCCTCCGCCACTCAAACCAATGACAAGACCGAAGTCATCTAGACCGAAGCAGGATTTGGGCGGAAGCTGCTATCTCCAATGCAGCCTGAAACACTGCCTAACTTAGCCTTTTAGTGACAGTAGACTTTGCGCGGTTACTACTACACTGTCTACCCGCACTCACCTATAGTAGGTGTTTAGCCAGACTCTAGGAAGCCAGAGCTGGTACTGCTTCTATCACTACTGTTATTTCAAATACTACAAACTAGGGTGCAGGTGAATGATTGTAATTGCTGGTAATATTGCTGACTGTAGTTAAGTCAGAAGTGACGCTGATTAAAGTCAGCATTGGGCTCATATCCCCTCAATCTCAACAGAAAGTGTAGTAGTACTAGTGCTAGCAATGGCGCTACCATTTGTCGGAGGTGACGCTGATTCAGCCACGCTAGGGCTGTGAATCTTGGTTTTAACTATTCCGAGTAAGTACCTGTTTTGGGCCCTGAGCACGGCAGAGCTTGCCTTGGTTTCCACCCTTTCAACTCTATCCCTCAGGCCGTAATCGTTTTTACCTGGTTCGGACTAGGATACTGCTGCTATAAGTGCGTGCCTATGCTTAAGTGCTAGGTCTAGTAATCATGCCAGTAAATAGTATGCTTTAGTACGGCCTGTGTATGCTTTTTTAGGAAGCCGCGCCCAGTATGCACACCAAATCTGTGTGAGGTAAAATGATTAGCATTTGGATAATAATAGAGCGTTTGTGAATAATGCAAAGTCATATCATGCTGTTATGTCGTGCAGTTTGCCGTCTATTGACCATGATTTTAGCCTACTACTACTCATGTGAAGACGTTACGGGTGCCTGACTAAGGCCCA